TTTTTTCCATGTGTACAGGGGTAACACATCGTACTAAATATGTAAGGTCATATCTACGTGGGTTTGATTACAGAAACTAATAAAGTATTCTCTAAATAATGAAAAAAAGAATAAGATAAGACTATAAGAGCAAGAAGCAATTTAAATATGTTCAGGGACCATTTTCATCTCCAGAATTAAGTATTATTTTGATGTTACATCATTGCCTTTTCTCTTTTACTTTCCTTTTTAGTTTTATTTTAGGATTCCCTATTTTTAATGTTCATACAGAGATTTCTTTAACTGAAATACCAAATAGTTTCTTTGGTGTGAAAAGCTATAATAGTACACAGGATCCTAATGAGATCATTAATAATGTGAAATAGGAAGTAAGGGCTAAAGGTGTAAGGAAAGTGGGAAGGGTGGGGGAAAGGTAATAAGGGAGAGGAAAAAATATGAGAAACTGAAAAAATGGAAATAAAGTGTTTGTAAATGGGGAGGGGAGGGGGTGAAGGGAGGGCAGGGACAAGGGGAAAAATGAGAATCAAGACCTCTTATGTAAAGGTACAGAATCCCAATGATGAATGTAATTGTATTGTATACCTAGATTGTACCAATAACCTCAATAAAAAGAAAAAAGAAAAGAATGTTTTTTTAAATCGCCAAATAGTTTCATGTATCTCATTTGATCATTACAACTCAGTGAAATGGGCTTGCCATTGTGCAGAGCCACAGAGGAGCATCACATCCCAGGACAGTTTGTAAAATGGCAACTGTGGGCTGGGGATTTAATGTAATTGTATTGTATACCTAGATTGTACCAATAACCTCAATAAAAAGAAAAAAGAAAAGAATGTTTTTTTAAATCGCCAAATAGTTTCATGTATCTCATTTGATCATTACAACTCAGTGAAATGGGCTTGCCATTGTGCAGAGCCACAGAGGAGCATCACATCCCAGGACAGTTTGTAAAATGGCAACACTGGGGGCTGGGGATTTAGTTCAGTGGCACTGCATCTACCTTGCCAAGCACAAGGTCCTGCGTTCGATCCCTGGTACTGCAAAAAAAAAAAGCAGCACTAGGACTGCTGGGCTGGTAGCACTGCTTTTTTCCAACATTCACTCTACTTCTAAGGTTAAGGGTATTTTAAATTACTTTGCTATTAAGGAAGTGCTGACTCTGAACGGTAGTAGAAACAACCTGCATATTAAAAAAAAAAAAAAGTAGCCATTTCCTGATGGGTACATTGGCACATGCATGTAATTCCAGCTACTGGGGAGGCTAAAGTAGGGGAATGATGAGTTTGAGGCCAGCCAGGGCAATCTAGCAAGACCCTCTCTCAAAATAATGATTGTAATAATAATAATTAATAAAGGGCTGGCAATGTACTGTAGCTTAGTGGCAGAGCACCCTTGGGATTTCATCCCCAGTAGAGAAAAAAGAACAAACATACGTACCAACAAAACACGTAGCCAGCTCATGACGCTGAACTCCCTCATTTTCCCACCTCTCCCCACAGTCACACAGAGCAGAGCTTAAGGCACAGTGATTGTACTGTTAAGTGTAGAAGAAAATATAACTACTCGCATGTTTGGAACCCTGAATTCCCTTGTTTAGCTTGGTTTGCTTACTGACCCCCCCCCAAAAAAAAACCCAGCTTTACTAAGGTATAATGTTATGTTGTTTTTAAACTGTGCTCCCTGAGATAATCTTTCTTTAGGGCAGTGGTGACTAACCTACAGCACGAGTGGCGCAGCCGGCTGTTATCATTGAATGCTCTAAAAGGTTCACAATCAGTGCCCTAGAGTATCTGTCTCACCTTTTGTATCTCCACTACAAGCACCTATAAAGCTTCTCCCCACCGCCACTCTACACCCCCAACACGTGTGACCCGTGTGTACAGTAAACGCTTGGCCTTCTTCCCGGCCGGCCCACAATAAGCACCTCCCCTCTGTCCCTTTCCAACTCAGCCCCCATGAATCTCGCCTGCCCCTCCCCCCTTTTCTCGCGAGAGGTGAGCGATCCTGGCCGGACGGGAGGAAAGTATCTGCTCCGCTGAGGGGGGGAAAGGAGGAGCTGGAGACAGATTGTGGGCCTGAGCTCAGGCGGGCAGGAGGCGACAGAGCTATCAGCGGGTAAGTTCTACTAATATTAGCTAGTCCGTGATCTGACAGGAGTTTCCCCTTCAAGTCTGGCCAGTCCTAGCTTCCCGGGCCGGGGTCTCCCCTCCCAGTCTGTTGGACGGGGGTGCTGAGGCGGTGGCTGGGCCCTGTCTGAGGAAGAGGGTGGGGCATAGAGTAAAATGACCAGTAAGAGAAAAGGAAGCAACGATTGGCGGCAATGAGTGCTAATGAAAGATCAGTTTTATCTTGCGGAGTGCCGCCTCTCTTCTCTCCCTTCTCCCGCCTCCTTCCTTTGCGGGGAAGGCGGGGCCAGAGGCCTGAAGAGTAGGGAGAACTTGGGGTAAGTAGCCCCGGGGGGCACAGGGCGTGGCAAGGAGAGGGGAATTGAATTCTGAGAGAGGAGTAGTTTAGTGGAGCCTAATGGAAGGATCGTGGAATGCGGTGGGATGAGAGAAAGAGGAGGACCACTAAACTAGGTTGAATACTCCGGACTTTCCAGAGTGGGGTTAGGGGTTTGGCTTTGGAAAAGGCAGGAGTAATTGGCAGGAGGTGGGGATGAGTAGGTGAAAACAAGGACCTTGATCTGGTAAAAGCATACTTTGTGTTTGGCTGGAAAGATAGGTAGGGGTAGATCATTGGAAATGAGCGTGGTGACATTTCGATTGAATAAAAATATCAGAGACGATAGTAGAGAAAGTTTGTATTTGAAGAGAACTAAGTGAATGAGTGTAGGAGGGCAGTGTTGATGAGTTGAGTCGCCAAAATGCATGACTTTAGGAATGGTGTGGGAATGGAGAGAATAAGGGAGGTGTTTGGAAGAGAGACGTCTGATATGCACAGGTCTTTAGCCTGGCTATGGGACGGAGGCTGTGTTGTTGACTTAGGACTTTTGGTGGTTATGACACTCAGTCTGATGACCAACTTAGAAAAATGCTGGGCTCTAGAATGGGAAAAATAGAACACTTATCACTTCTTTGATTTTTCTCCTTCCATTCCCCTTCCCAAATTTTGTCTCTTCCAAAACACAGGGATGTGGGCTTGGGACTTAAGCAGTCCACGTTGGAGCCCCAAAGGGACCTATATGTTGCTCTGAATTGCTTGTTACGTTCTTTCACTGGGGTATTTACTACCCAGGGAACCTCCGGCGCAGATTCCCTTGTTGCTACTTACTGGACTTTAAAAGTTTGTTTTCTACTTAACAGAGTGTTTTAGCATCTCTTAAGGTCCTGTCACATTTAGTGTAGGTTTGTGGAGGTGTGCAGGTTTTCCTCAGCAAGTCACTTGATTTCTATGTTTAAAGTTTTGTAGTAATGTAATTTCTGTAGAAACATTAATCTTTATAGACATTCTAAGTACAAATATACTAAAATGAAAAATTTTCCATTTAAATGTGACATTCTTGAAAAGTTATTAAACGGATGGTTGCAATTAGTTTTAATTAGCTTACATATATTTTAAATAGTGTAAATTAAATTACACACGTTTCAGGAAAGTGAAATTTTTTCAGTTTTTTCACTTGTATCCAGACTCTAAAGACACATCATAATATCTTAGGGCAAAGACGGGAAATCAAACACAATCTGTATTTAATCGTGGAGATGTAAGGTAAGTGGAGACTATTGCGAAATATAGCATGTCTGTAAGAAAAGAAGCTAAAGAAAAGTTTGGCAGCTATGCTAAGTAGTCTTACCAGTTTGCTCTTAATTCTGTATAGAAGAGAGACAGGCCTTTGGCCTTTGTTTAATAATTATGTATCATTTAATAATGAGTTACACAGCCAATTAATAACTTGTTTGCTATTGCGTAGATTTTTTTTTACAATCCTTCTCTTCTGCTTTTGAAAATTGAAATACCTATAAGCTAATATATGAAAAGAAACCAGGCTATGTAATTTTGTATTAACCTTTGGTTTTCAGCAACCAGTTCAAGCTTTCCTCTTGGCCAGGACATTGCCCCTACAGCACGATGAGACCAATTAATTACTGACCCTTTAGCATTAACTACAGCGTTTCACATTAAGAACATTACTATAGGACATTTTCACAGTTTGCCTGGCAGCAGGGAAAAAAAAATCCAATGGAAGAGAGAGCACAGGCCCTTGTTTTGGTCTTCCAGTCTAGAATTTGTGAGGGCTTTAACTTGGGCATATTAAGATTTTTTTTTTCTCTCACTAGTGTTACCACCCAGCAGAGAGCTAGAGAATAACACTACACATCTTTCAGTTTGTGGATCAAAGTTTACACTCTGCTGGTTTCAGTGTTGTAATTTTTAAACACCTTTGTTTAAATACTATGTGTTTAAAATGTTAATAGCTGTATCTTGTTTTCTTTCCTCTCCTCACTTCTAACCCAAAATGAAAATTATTATTTCAAACAACACTTAAGTTATTGCTTTGCCCAGAGTAAATTCCCTGGCTCTGCCTGAACACAGCTGCTCTGAAGTTATTGTTTTGTGCATGTCAGGACTAAATTTTCTTAAGCTGCAGTGGGAGGTAGTCAGTTTTGCTGCAGCCTCCTATCCATGTCTGATAAGGAGGAGCCTTCTTCTTGCAAGAAGATTTTAGGTGGAACCAGTAGCACTGTTGTGTGAGTGCCTAGGAAAGGCAGCTCTCTTCTTGGGACCAGTTAGCAGTCTGGCATATAATTGTCCCCTAGTCCTTGATGATGGTACTAAAGGTAGGGGCAAATGTGTCTTTAAGAAAAACAGTCATAGCATTCATTTAAAAAAAGAAAATGCTTATTTCTTTTGTTGTTGGTTTCACTGAAAAAGATTTTGACTTTGAAGTTCATGAAAAAATTCTGTCTATTTTATTTTTGATTTTCTAAAACAAGGTCTCACTGTGCAGTTCAGCCTGGCCTTGAACTCACTATGGCCCATGCTGGCCTTGAACTCATGATGATCCTCCTGCCTCAGCCTCCTAGGTGCTGGGATTATATGTATGTGCCACCACATACCTGGCTCCTATAAATTTTAAAAACATGTCAAAGAAAACATTTTTCTTTTTCCTCTACTGAGTATTGAACCCATGGCCTTCACACTGAGCTACATCCCCATCCCATTTTATTTTTATTTTTTTATTTTGCGATAGAATCTTGCTAAATTGTTTGTGCTGGATTCAAATTTGATATCCTCCTGCCTCAGCCCCTCAGGGTACTGAGAGTTAGGTGTATACCACTACACTCAATTTAAGAAGATAATTTTTTTTTCTTTTTTCTTTTTTGGTACCAAGAATCAAACATAGGACCTTGAGCTTGCCAGGCAGGTGCCTGCACCCCTAAGTTACATCCCTGGCCCAGGAAAATAATTTTTAAGCTTCTCTGCCATATATGTATTTAATTGCTTATTTTTGGCTTTTGTTTGTTTGTTTGGATTGGTAGTTATTATTTTTAGTTTTTTGTTTTTGGAGAGAAGACCTCACTATGTAGTACAGGCTGGCCTTGAACTTACTGTGTAGCCTAGGCTGGCCTCAAACTCAATATCCTTTTCCCTAAAGAACTGGGATCTGACATGGTCTCATTTTTAAATGTTGCCTTCCTGTATAAGACTTCTTTTAGAATCAGGTATATTAATGAAGTACACATCATATTGGATATCCTTGACAGATGATCTTTTAATATCTGAATGCTGTAAGGAAGAGATCCCCACTTCACAGAAAACCTGTTCCATTCATTATTGGAGTTCTAGTATGTGCTGTTGAAATGAGCACCGTTATTGGTGTTCATTTGAAGCCATACTAAATAAAACTAATTCTCTGTCAACATCACAGACTTCAAATATTTGATGACACTTAATTCCCCATTAAGACATCTCTTTCTGGATAAATGCCCCAACTTCTTTCTGTTTTTCCTTAGATGACATTTTAAATTAAGTTCAGGCTTTTCATTAACTTAATTGCCTGAGTTTTTTAGAGTTCTTTTTTTTTCCTCATTGAGTTTATTGGTACATTTTAGGTATGCAGTACAGTTACATTCATTATTTGGATCTTGTACCTTTAAATGGCAGGTCTTAGTTCTCATTTTTTCCCCTTGTTCCTGCCCTCCCTTTTCCCCCTGCTCCCCTCACCCATAATGAGTGAAACTATCAACTAAGTAATAAATCTCTGCCTATGGCTTTTTTGTTGTTGTTGTTTTGTTTTTTCTGGTATGGGGGATCGAACTCGGGACCTTGCACTTAAGAGGAAGGTGGCAGCACCACTGAGCTAAGTCTCCAGCCCCAAAATGGTGCTAATTCCTACTTTATAAGATTGCTGCAAAGATTAAATGAGATAAGAGGTGTAAGGCATCTACTGAGTGCTCTGCAAATTGTTTTGTTTGTTTGTTTGTTGGCTTTTTGTTTTGTTTTGTTTTCTGGATCAAACTGGGTCTTCACGCTTGTGAGGCAGGTGCCAGAACCACTGAGCTAAATCCCGGGCCCTTAGAGTTCCTTATCTAGATATGAAGATAGCATCTCAGATAAAATCTAACCAACACAAAATATGGGATTAAAGGGATCATGACATCTTGTTTTCTTCACTCTGTACTGCTATTCATAAACCCTAAAGTCATATGAATTTGTATAGTTGGTTTTTTAAACGTATTTGAGAACTTTACATTTATCCCTGTAGTTATCCTGTTACTCATTATTTTTAGTACAACAGTGTTTTTTAGCCTCTTGATCGTTGCTCATATCTTTTAATTGAGTATATTGGTACTTTTTAAGTATACAGTACAGTTACATTTATCATTAGGATCTTATACTCTTACATGACAGATCTTGGTTCTCATTTTTTCCCCATACCCCTGCCCTCCCTTCACCTTTCCCACTTCCCCTATTTACAAAGACTTTGTTTCCATTTTTTCCTTTCTCCCTCATATCTTTGTATTATTGATGTGTTTGATAAACATGATGTCTGGGTTTTCATGTTAGGTCACTGGCAGAGCATATTCGTAGACTATCATTATGATAACATTAACATTTTAGAGTAAAATACAGTTATGAATCCCACATGCTGTTTTATATCAACTAACCTTTAT